AAAAGCTCTGGCGAAATCCAGGTTCTTGAAATTGCGAGATTTGTTAGGATTAATTAGTTTTAGTCAAATTAAAAATTCAAAGTAAATTTGTTTTTATGTTTTTTAAATTTCAAGTTTTAGGGAAAGTATTAGAGATTTGAAATATCTTGTTGACAAAAACTTTACATTAAAAGAATAATATAATATAGTTTTTATATTGTGTTTAGAAATATAGCGTAGGTCACACATATTTTGGAGTAAAGCAGTTGCTTACGAACGCTCGTAGAGTAAACACGATTTTGTCTCAGTTTGCTAATAAAGTCTTACTTTATATTATACTATTCGAACTTGTTTTATTTAAAACCTCAACATTTTTAACCAATTCAAATGCAGAGAACAATATTTGTCAATTTTTAGTACTTTAATTAATGTATTAAAAAATAAGTCAAAATTTCCACCAGTTTTTGGAGATATAGTAGAGTTTAATTTGAACTAATTGTATCGCAAGTAGACCCTACGTTACGACTGCTAAAATATAAAGTAAGACCAATATTGAAGGCTGATAGTAGGGCTTAAATTTTAACTCGGGTCAGTTTTCATAATTATTACATCAATAAATATTAAAGTAAAAAGCAATTTTTTAAAAGCGAATTAATATAATAAAACTTTTTTTTAATTTCATAAGAACATTCCCGGTTTGGCATATTCCCAGTTTTTCCCAGTCAAATTAAATTCCCGAATACTTCACTTTTTTCAGGGTTGGTATAGACACCCTGTTAAATGTATTTTAGTAGAAATAAAAACCCGTACACCATTTGTAGATTTATTTATTGTTAAAATCAAATAAATTTAAATTTGATGAGAATAGATACACCTGGAAAAATTTGGACAAAGTTAGGAAAACATCGTAAATTTTGTTAAACAAAAATAATAGACAAAATACTTAACTTTTGTCTTTACATTGATCAAAACATCTCTAAAAGTTAAATATTTAATATTTCTAAAGTTCTTGCAATTAAAGAATATTGGATTAATTGGATAAACAACTAAATCTAAATTGAATTATTTTGACGTTAAATCTTAATCAGAGACCCTAAAAATACAACTGAATTAATCTTGATAGTAATTGGTATCAATTATAATTTTTTCGATTTTTTGATATTGAAAACATTTTTATTCTTACATCATCGTTATAAGATAGTATTTTTTGCAAAATTATGCTGGAATGTGACAAAATAACATGTAATATTCAATTATAGAAAGTTTAAAAGCTATTTATTAAAAAATGTGAAATTTGGAAATTTTCGATTTTTGAAAATATTATTATATTTGCATTTTAGTAATGAGATAGTATTTTTTGTAAAATTATGCTAAACTGTGACTAAATAACATGTAATACTCAAGTATAGAAAATTTAAGGAGGTTCTCCGGCTGCAACTCTTGCAAAAATCGATTTTCTTCCAATTTTATTTAAATTTTGAGGAAATGTTTCTTCGAGTGCGCTCTAAATGTGGTAGAAATTTCAGAACCCTTTGCCATGCTAAATTTTGAAATATTCAAGTTCAAACTTCAGCTTCTACATGCGATTATTTTGAAAATGAAAAATGTCAATTACGATATCTCGTTTTTCGGCATGGCAAAGGGTTCTAAAATTTCTACCTCATTCAGAGCGCACTCGAAGAAACATTTCCTTAAAATTTAAATAAAATTGGAAGAACATCGATTTTTTCAAGAATAGCAGCCGGAGAACCTCCTTAAATGCAATCCATGAAAAAAAAAATTCGGAAATTTTCGATTCTGAATTTTTTGAAAAAATTGAATATGTCCCGTTCTAATTAATATTTTTTAAATCTGTAATTTCATAAACCTTCCTTGGAGAAATACCTAATACCCTACCAAATTGGATTTAAATCGATTAACGCGTTTTTGTGTGATTGGGGTACAAAGTTTTTGTGATAGACATACATACATACATTAAATTTTTTACGAATATTTTTGGAATCTCTGATGTCTATAATAACTAATCATGCTAACATTTTAAAGTTTTAAGCAATGTACAGACAGATGTCTGATTTTATTAGTAAGGATATAAAATTATTTAATTATGTTGATTTATTTTACAACTAGCTGTCGTACCCGTCTTCGACGGGTTTTAGCTTCTACCAATATATTTAACAGTAAATATGTTTACCAAACTGGGAAATAGTCGGGAATTTAATTTGACCGGAAAAAAATAATAATTACTTATCATTAATTATTTTATTAGGAAAATATTACTATTTGAATTAGTGACTGATTCAAATGAAATTAGTTATTTTTAACCAATTCAAATGCAGAATAGTATATTAAGCAACAAGGGTATAAAGGCAGCCATATGTTTACGGTGATTTTTGTGACACAAGTGGAGGGCAAAAATAACGCATGGGATCAGCGGTTATGTTTGCACATGGGAGAAAATGGACGCCATTTTCATATTGTCGAACAAATGAGTGACTTTACTCCCTGTCGTCAGCTATCTAAAAGCGCCATTTTTGTGCATGTGGGATAAAAAAATATATAAAATCAATTTAAATTAAAAATTAATAGTAATAGTAATCAATAATAGTAATAGTAATAGTAATCAATAAAATATAAAAATAAAATTTTAATAGTGAAATAAAATCAATTTTAACTTTTGATTTTGATAATTTGCAATAAATTTCATCGTATTCATTTTTGTGGTATCTTCTTTGAAAAAATTGAATGTCTCCCGTTCTAATTAATATTTTTTAAATCTGTAAATTTATAAACCTTCCTTGGGTAAATATCTAATAACCTACCGAGTTAGACTTAAATCGATTAACGCGTTTTTGTGTGATTGGGGTACAAAGTTTTTGTGATAGACATACATACATACATTAAATTTTTTACGAATATTTTTGGAATCTCTGATGACTATAATAACTAATCATGCTAACATGATTAGAATTTTGAAGTTTTAAGCAATGTACAGACAGACGTACATTGATACTGATTTTATTAATAAGGATATACAACACTTATTCTTCTAACCTTAAATATCAATCAGCTGTCACAGATGAAATTCTTAGAATGTAAAATTGCACTTATTTCTCCCGTTTGGCAGCGCTGTTATCAGTGAACATGAGACTATTACTTTTTACGTGCCTGTCGATTTCAGTCAATTTCCCAATTGGAGTCAATGGGTACCAGCTATGGTGGAAATACAATAGGTGTAGCGTTGCACACGACGAGTTTACGTATAGTTCTGCGCCGACCACAAGTCTGGCCATATTGGAAAATTTGAAAAATAATTTTATCTGTTTTGAAAAAATGATTCTGTGTAAATAAATTATTTTAAAGATCAGAAGGTCAACTATGTTTTAAAAATTTTTATTCAATTATTATTTATTTAATTGAAATTATTATTATTCGTTAAAAATTAATATATTCTTAATAAATGATTTGCCTTTTTTACTTTTCAACATTTATTTGATATACAGTGGACTCCGCTTATAACGAGTCCGGATATAACGAGAAGTTGGTTATAACGAACACATTTTCGTCACTTGGTTGGTTTCAATGTTAATTAAACGTATTTTAACTTCGCTTATAGCGAACTTGGGCTATAACGAACAAATTTCAACGGTCCCTTGAAGTTCGTTATAAGCAGAGTCCACTGTATTTAGAAAGATTTTAAAATACCACACTGAGAAAAAAGAGGGCGCGTTGCAGCACATTTTCGAGTCACGTTGCGCGACTTAACCCTGCACGGAAAGAAAAAGTCTAAAGAATATTTTAATGTTTGTATTAAAAAGTTGAACAAGAGTCGCTTTTTAAAAATGTTTCAATACTGTATCTCAAATTAATATTCATAACAACCCAGTAAAAAAAATTCGATACACGGACCGCGGAGTTCGTATACGAGCTCGGTAGCTCGTATGAGAAATATGAGAAATCTCTCATACGAGCCTTTTCCGTAATGAGAAGTGTATAGATGCTTGTATACAAGCAAGGTGACTTTTAAAGCATTTTTATTAATGTAACACTATTTTAAAGTAAATGTAGATAAAAGAAATGAATTTTCTCATCTAAAACAAAGCTAAATTCATAAGGGAAATGAAGTTTTAAGAAAAAAAGGATAATTTTGTTCAAAAAATTTATTCACACTGAAAAAAGGTTAGAATTTGATAATTCCTTGTTTCAAACGTTTTATCATACGCAACATAAAGTTTCTTAGACATCTTGAAATAATTTTCAGGAAATCAAATAAATATTATAAATTGTCCATCTTGTCCGTGTGAATTTGTGCTGAATTTCGTCGGTTGGGTGCAGAAAGGTGCCAATTCAGACTAGTCGTGAAAAACGTGCCGTTTCAAAAAACACGTGAGAAACCTGCCAACTTCAGCTGCGATTTGGAAAACATGCCAACTCAGAATTGACGTTCATTTTTTTCATTTTAGGTACCTACAAGAAAGAAGTTGTCCATCAAATAATAAATAATCAACAAATTAATTCAATAAATTAGTAAAAATATTCCTTTTTCAAAGAAAAATAACAATTATGCAAAATGCAACTAAAAAAATAATTTTTGTACAACTTTATAATAATCTTTGCTTCAAATTTTTCTGTACTGACAAATGTCAACCTAAAATAAAAAAAAATGAACGTCAATTCTGAGTTGGCATGTTTTCCAAATCGCAGCTGAAGTAGCAGGTTTCTCACGTGTTTTTTGAAACGGCACGTTTTTCACGACTAGTCTGAATTGGCACCTTTCTGCACCCAACCGACGATTTGTTGATTTTTGTGCTGCAAGTCACCACCAGTGGGCAGCTACTATACTCAAAATTTTTTTATTGTGTAGTGATTTCTGAAACTACGATATCGATAGATATTTTGAGCAAAACGTTGTTTCTGCATATTAATTGACATAATTTCAAACCATGCTTACAATAACAAAAATAATTTTTGAAAAGTAAATTATAAAATATTTCTTTCTAATAAAAATAATGATTGTGTTTCAGACTGAATACAAGTACTGTTACGATTTAGTGTTGCATTACGTGTTGCACTACCTGAACAAGGACATGAACGAAAAAAAGTGAGAAAGCGAGTTGAGGGACGAGCTATGGTTCATCGAATTTGGCCGCGGGGTGGCCTTGCCCCTGACACCGGAAGAGGCCCCTGCTGATGGGGAGCCGGTTGTACCCTGCGCTCAAGGTCGCGTCGTTATTGAATCAGCAAGACCGGCACAGCCGCACTTTGCCACGTGTTCAACGTACCGCAGACATTTGACACATTCGAACGGAACTCAAACAAATAGAGGAATAACAGCGTCAGTTGATCAGGGAAAGGGTGCCATTTCAAAAAAATCGGTACCACAAAGTCCAGCAATGAGACCCGAGGACCTTGGTGTCACGCCTTGGTACTTTGAAGACTATTCAACGGACTCACTTCCTGGTCCTGGCGATCAGAGCTCGTACCCCTCACAATCACAAAACGGGAGAGATACCATCAAGCCGGAACTAGCTTCAACTAGAAACAGCAGTATGGAGAACGATTCATCGAGACCATCATCTACAATACCGAGAAAAGCTTGCATGGACATTAGGGATGCAATTGCTCTTTTAGATGAGACTTGTCCCAATCCAGAAGCTAGTCCTTCACTCACACCTCGAACACCACGAACCCCCTTGACACCGTATCCAAGAAATAAGCGTGCACGGTCTAAAAGTAGTGATAATTCATCGAACTACAGTAACGATCGCCTCAGTGAGAGATCGATTGATAACCCCAAAGAAAAAGAGAAGAAAAGGCCTTTTCTCAGAAAAATTGGCATTTCGAAAACGGAAGATCGACCATTCCTTAGCATTCTAGCACCGAAGATTATTGGCAAGCCATATTTGGAGAAAATCGGACCTAGTAGAGCTGTAGAAAGGCCCTTCTTAGACCAAATTGGTTCTTCCAAGACTTTGGATAAATTTACGTTTGATACACCAAGAATAGAGCGCAAGAAGCAAGAAAGTGCTGAACAATCATCCAAAAGTTTTGACAAGCAAGAACATGAGGTGAAATCAAGGGGAGATATAAAAAGTTTTCCTGAGAGAAGACGTTCTGGCAAGGCCTATTTATCTAAAATGTATTCCTTCGAAACGGAAGATCTTGGCGAAGCAGCTCCTCTCAAAAGTCATCGTGATCCTCTTCGAGGAGCGTCTTTGAACGACGTTCTCGACGCTGGCGTCGGACCCAGTAGTATGCCCCATATAGAAACAGGTAATTCGAAGTTAAAACTGCTATCAACCAGCGCAGTTGAACTTGTCAAATGTCGAGTGACCACTAGTGAGGAAATTGTTTCATCCACTACGTGCCTCAGTTCTCCGGCTGAAGCTACATCTTGGGAGTACTCACCCAGACGAAAACATTGGGCTAAGAGAATCACATCCACACCCAAAATGCTAGCTCGCCGTCGACTGGAGAATCCCGACTCGAAGGAACGCATTCCAAGTGACGTGAGCACTCCAAATTCACCTACGAAAAGAGCCATTTCCTCAGTTTCTCCCGAACGACGCACCTTCAAACAAACTGATATAGGTTTTATCAAAAATCTCGAGTTTTCACCCTCAAAAACAAGGCGACAAATCTCGGAAGACATTCTTGACAAGAAAAGTAACACCCATTCTCAAATCGAAAGATGGGGCATTTCTTCTGATAATCTTAAGATGTCTCGGGAAACTGTCGTAATAACACCTACATCATCTCTCAGACTTCAAAGTCAAGATTACAAATCTTCTTTCGAACTTCAAACCGAAGATAGTAGAGCATCTCCTAGACTTCAGGATTCAATGCAATCAGAATTTTTAGGTAAGGAAAATTTCAAACAATTACATGATAAATTCGAATCACAAGAGATTCCTGTCGAAACATACGCTGAATTTAAGCAGCGCACCAAAGGACACTTTCCTACTTCGGCGATGCTTAGGAAAGTTATTGCCCAAGAGAAGACTATATCACCAACGTATGATGTTAGCGATTTTCTAAAAAGCGACAAGAGCCTCTTTGAATTATGCGACAGAAAAAAAATTGAAAGAAACAGAACCAAATCATCTGAAAGAAATAAACTCGAAACTTCTGATAAAATATCGGAGAAATCGAAGAGTTCAGATGACAAGGAAAGAGAAAGAGCATCAATCGAAGAAAAAACAAAACTCCCGGTTCGAAGAGGAACAGTGAGATCCGTATTAAGAAAGCAGGACGGTGTGGATCATCAAAGTGATCATGAATCTGAAACTAATACTTCTTTCAAACGATCCAAACCGAGAATTCCACATGAACCATCCCAAGAGACTATAGATCTTTTAACCGAATTGAAAAAAGTTAAAAGTCTCCTAAAATCTCCCTCGATGGAAAAGGATTATGATCTTGAGAAACTGAAGGATGTGACAAAAATGCCAAAGAAGATTCTCCTAACAGATAAGGAATTCTGTTTGTCAATCGAACGAGAAAATAGTATTCGAAGACCGTCGCGAGTCAATTCTGAATTTTCGGATCAATCACATGAGAAGAAGAAAATTTCCGATAAGGAAAATTCAATAGACGAAAGACATAAACAGGGTCCTGCTCTCTTTGAGAAAAGATGTCTATCTCTTGATTTTGCTGATGATGAAAGGTCTCATAAAACCGGGACCAGAGCAATTTCTCTGGTATCAGCTAAAAGTCCTCTTTCCGATACTGAAGAAGTTGATTCCACTTTGAATCTTGATTCAAAAAGTAGTTGCTCCAAGACTTTCAACACTCCCGATGAGCTCGATATTAAGACTAATAATGTCATCGAATTAAAGACAAAAGTAAAACCAAATCATTGTTTGGAAGTGGGTGCTGGTAATTCTTTGGAACAAACTAAAACAAGTCCAAAGAAGAAATTACCACCTCAGGGTCAACGTACAAGCGATGCCTATGAAATTATATCACCAAGGACAACGCCATTCCGAATGAAAAAGCGTTTAGGCAGAATTTCCGTAGAAGATACATTGAAACAGGAGAGTTTTACGTTAGATAAAACGGATTGCAAATCGGTTATCGTACAGAAAAAAACCAAGTGCTTCCCCTTATAACGTTAACGCACAAGGCGAAGGCTAAGTTTTACTGCAGCTTTCAAAAAACCGTTTGTTCCGACATTTATTTACTCGATCAATCGACTGATCAGCATAACGAACTCTGAAAAGACCAACTGATCTGGTTATCTTTACGGAACAAGCTTTTGGACCACTTTTCTATTTATGTAGAGTTAAAGAAAGTCACGAAATTTTGGCACAAGATTCTAAAATCAAATTCCAGAGTCGAGTTTCGTCTCTTAAAACTATTATTTGAGAAAAATTTCTTTTGAATTCTTTTTAGAAATATATTATACGAATCTCAATTAAAAAAGATCGTTCACTATTAATTGATCAATTTACTCTTTAGAGATTTTTTTTCTTATATAGTTGTCTTTAAATTAAAATATTAAAAAAAGGCAAAAGTATAATGAACTTTTTAAAAAAATAATGAAAATGCCGAAACTACATTAAAAAAACAATGATCTTCTATTAATTTAACCTTTACGATTTCGAAAGCTTAAAAAAATTAAAAATTAAAAGCTGAGTTTAGATTAGGTATTAGATTTAAAAAATTCAATACGTAGACACAAACAAATTTTTAAATTGGACATAATCATTTAAAATTTATTACTCGGGAGATTCAGCGCAAAACTGTAAAGGTGTTAATAGAACATGTTTTCTCTAAATATTCGAATTTCTTTTTGTCACTCTAAAGAAATTGATCAATTTTTATTTTAAAACAAGATTTGATTAAACGCTACATTATGGCTGTTAAAAGAAATCTAATCCTTTGCCAAGTGCAAACGACACCTGTCCATCTAGAAATTAAATCGTCTTTCCTGGTTTTTGTTGCTGAATCTTTAATCACTCGAATTAATTTATATAGTAAAAATAATTTACTATTTAACATCAACCATTTTTTAATATAATAAAATACATTTAATTTACTTTTAGTTAATTTATAACAAAGTTAAAAAACAGTATTTCCAAAAAAAAGATATAATTACAGAATTAAAAAGAAATGGAGCAATTTTTTTATATAAGATAGAAGTTAGATCAATTTTTATATTTTTCACATTTTTTTGAATTTTTTCAGAAAAAAAATGTTAATTTTAATGATTGAAGACAGCAATATAAAACCTTATGTCGTGCAGTGCCTTGTTCGTGGATAAATTCATTTAAAAAATAGATTTTATAGACGAAGTGAAATTCAGAAATTGAAAAGAGTGTAGTTAAGAAGGAAATTTAAAAAATAAATGAAAAGAATTATGTTATCTTGGTTTAAAACAAACTTTTGTTTTCATGAAAAGTTTAACAAGTGAAATAACAATGTAATTAGAAATTAAATAAATAAATTAAAATAAATTAAAAACTAAATAAAGAAATATTTAAAAATGAATAAAATTAAATCATAAATATAAGATAATTTTTCTGTTACAAATTTTTTGTAATCGATTATTTATAATTAATAAATGACTAATAATAATTCAGCTAATGTTGTTTAAACAACAAAAATGCGAACGAGACATTTTACGTCAGAGATATCACGATTTGCAAACGGTAGACAGATTTTCACGAAACTTGATGGGATCATAGTTCAATGAAAGAGACTTACTTTCCCCGAATTATTTTTTAAAAAATTCAAAAAAGTAGAAGATATGTCATTTTGAAATTTAATATTAATTTTATAAAATTTTTAATATCTCGGAATATTGTATATCGATTTTTATGAAATATACACATTTTTCAGGTAAAAATATGCACTATAAAATAAAAATAAAGTGAATAAAAAAATTACATTTTTATATAAAAAAAATTTTTAATTGTTTAAAACAATTTTTTGTTCATTTACTCCTCTCTGAAAAAAACTTCTTTACATATTTAGATTCAATATTAAAATTGATAATAGCGTATCTTCTACAATTTTGAATTTTTTAAAAACTAATTTGGGGAAATTGTGTCTCTTATATTGAACCATGATTCCACCAAGTTTCGTGAAAATCGGTCTACCCTTTGCAAATCGTGATATTTCTGACGTGAAATGCTCCAAAAGCTAAAAAAATTTTAAGATATATTCCATCCATTAATAATGTTAAAAATTAATTAAATTGTTTTGCCGAATTTTCAAAAACGTCACTATTTAGAAATTGTTAAAAATGTAAATAAAAATGTTTACTGAAAATATACAATTATTGCACTGTATTATATTCTAATAAAAAATTTATTGTAATATAGTACAATTAAATAATTATATTATATACCTTAAACAAACAGAGAAATAATGAACTTTTTTATAAATTCTCTTGACAGTAAATTTGTTAGCTCATACTAAATAAAAGTCCCAGAATAATTAAGGGCATGTGGGAAAAAGCGCTTTAAAAAAGTGATTTCCCGCGTGTTGTCTCACTCCTAAATAAATTGTGATATCGAGTTCGGATTTGTCAGACATTGAATCTATGTGTCAGAAGGTGGCCCCAACTGACATCAAATTAGTCCACTTTCAATCTTTAATAAAATAATTTCCTCGCAAAATTATTGTCAAAATGGAGAAAAGCGCGCAGTGAGCTTTCTTCTATCACCCCTCCAAATGTAAACCCGAAATATTTTATCCTCTCAAGATGAGATGTAATTTCCGAAACCCCTTTTTCAGAATATTTAAACAATTTTTTTAATAATAATTTATCAAAATTTTGCAAAATTCCGAGAAGAGCGCGTGTCAGGGTGCCTTCCTCTATACTTTTCAGAAAATCCCGACCCAAAATATTATTTTCTTTTAAAATGAGAAGTCTACCACGAAAGCACTTTTTCTCTCACCTGCCCTTACAGCAAAAGTTATCCAATTTTTTGTCGTATTAACTTTTAGAATTAGACCAAAAATTTATTTTTGCAATAAAAAATAAATTATAAAATCATATGCCATATTTTAAACATTGACTTCAATTTTAATGCACATTAATGAAAAGTGTGAATTTATTGTCCAGTTTTTTTATAATTCATAAAGGATGAAATGTCGAAGAAAATTATGTTTCTTGTTGAAACTTTTAGAACTATATATAGGAAAAAAATCGTCAGCACGCACTCGACACGCACTATAAGCGGAAAGTAAATGTATATTTGTAGACTAATTAAAAATACCAATATTATAAAACTAAAAAAAAATCTAAAATTTATATATAACCAAAAATAGAAAAAAATTATGTATATACTATAGATATTGAGATTGCGAGTGCACGGTACTTTTACGAAAAAAAAGAAAAAAACACTGCAATGATAGTATAAATGTGCACTGGCATCAAATTATTAGATGACGAGATGTGCCAAAGAAAGATACGACTTATTGTTCGTTACGATGTTACTTTTATATTCATATATATATATAAATATATATATATATAAATATACATATATACAAATAAAGTATATATATATATATATATATATATATATATATATATATATATATATATATATATATATATATATATATATATATATAAACTAAAATTGAATTTGTGAATGCACGTGCAATGAGGTCGTGTGTTCATCCGTAACGTGTTATGTAAAATACCATTCGAAATACGTGTATAAAATTTGTAAATGTGTAAACGTAAACAAATGCAAGTTCACATACATGTATAGAAAAGCCCACATGAACCCTCACAACACAATTTTACTATCACGTGCATTGGATCGTAAATTCATTCTTTTGGTCTCGTATAAATCTTATTTTCTCTGGACCATATATATCTGTATTTTATAGGTTTTCCGTCTTTTCGTAACTGTACACACGTATTATTGGGAAATATTTGATTGGATTATTCATAAATTCTTCAAACTTTTTTATTCCAGCTCACTGACTTTATATATATATATATATATATATATATAGAGTTTGATAAACTATTTTCAAACAAATCACTCTTTGATATAAATTTTTCTTTTAAAATCTCTTCATTTTTTTACAGAAAAATTTTAAACTAAATCAACATTATATAATGAAAAATTACCAAATAGTAAAAAAATTTATTCATATTCAGTCATTTTTTGTCCGAAAATAATTTTCATTGATAAGCTTATATAACACAGGACCACAAAGGGAAATTGAGGTGGACATGTTCTAAGCATAGGTGACCTTTACGTTTTTGGGGTCGCTGATTACGATGCTGGTGTCCGTATGGCCCCATCACGTCAGTATCATGGTCAACTTAAGGTCAAACACCTCATTTTGAAATATTTAATTTTGTTGACCCCTGATTCGGAAAGAGCGGAAAATTTTACGTCCGAATACGTTTTGACCATTTTCATGAACCAACCTTTAAAGGTCAATTGAAGGTCATCTTGGTCCGGTGTTGGAAAAATTAAATATTGCAAAATTAGGTGTTTGACCTTGATACTGACGTGATGGGGTCATACGGACATTGGCATCGTAATTAGCAACCCTAAGAACATAAAGGACATGCTTAAAACATGTCCACCTCAATTTCCCTTTGTGGTCCTGTGTAATTTTAAATTATTTAAATTATATAACTTTTTTATAAAACATAAAAATGTAATATTAAACAATAATTGAATGCTGATTGTTTATTAATTTATTAAATAAGAAAATATTTATTCTTATCTAATATCTATTAGTTGACAAATTAAATACTAATTACAGTCTCGGATATTATAATTTTTTCTACTTTTTTTTAATTATTTTGCTAAAATGCGACTTCATTGACCATTCTTCGACATACTACAACAAAATACCACCTTTTTTGTATAAAATGAAACTTATTGTGATTTATACATTATGAAAAATAACTGTAGTCAAATAAATTGTCAAATTAAAACAATTGTTATTAATTTAGAACTAATTTTGACGACTTATAACTTATAATAAGTGTGTCAGTTACGGCGCTAATCAATTTTTGTTCAATAATAGCTTAAATATGTGTTTTTTACGTACAATTGTTTCGAGTAAGGTCAAAAATAATTTTTTCAAACATTTTCAAATAGTTATATTATTCTAAAATAATAGGGTAGGGTGGGGCATTACTATTCTTGTTTGGATTTTTGAGTCTAAAAAATGTATTAAAAAAAATAAAAAAATGAGAAGCACCGTTTGAAAACTTGACTTCTTAGCTACAATTTTGTCATGTATTATTTTGCTATAACTCGATTCTGTTCCTACAATCCCGTGCAGAAAATGCCCAACTTTGCCCTATTTAAAACAGGGTTCTGGTCGGGGCCTGGACAGTTTTCCCTATTAATTTTTTTTTTAATAAAGTTTTTAGAATTCCTTTTTGTTGTAGAAGCTATTAACAATGAAAGGCAATCATTATTTTAGTTATTTAATAATTTTTTTATTTTAGGGATTTGACTAGAATTCCTAGCCAGAACCCCAGGTAGGGTGTTCATTAGATTTTAGATAGGGTACTGATCAGGGCCTCGACAGTTTTTAGGGTTCCGTACACCTACGGTGTATCGGCGGAACCCTATTGGTGAGACTCTGTTGTCCGTAGCCAAATCGTGTCCCCCCCCCTAGCGGCTAAACTATTTGACCTAAAGAGCTCAAATTTGGTCCAGATATGTATTTTCACTCGTAGATTACAGGAAAAATATAGCGAATGTGATTGGACTTGATGGTCATAGCGTTGTCAAGGAAATAACAAGATTTTTGGCCAAAAATGCATAAAAAGTGACCATTCCCCCCCCCTTAATTTCTAAACTATTCGACATGGAGAGCTGATGTATTTTGACATGCATGCTGGTGTATTTTTACTCGAATATTACAGGAAAAATATAGAGAACTTGATATGTAATGATGGCCATAGCGTTGTCAAGAAAAAACTAAAAAATTAAAAAAAAAAATTTGTTTTCCCTAACTTTTACATTATTTGACCTAATGAGCTGGAAATTGGTATCCTGGTGTATTATTACAGTCTGACGACAAAAAATTTATTTAAGAAACTTTTTAAAAAAAAAATTTTTTAATTTTTTTTAGTTTAAACACGTGGCATT